ACAATACAAATAAGTTGAGACGATTAAACGGCATATGCAGCAAGCTGCGATCGATCAATAGACGGAAGTGTGTTGAAGCTATAAATCTTATATCGTTTAGATGCTCACGATCGCAACAGATAAAAAACGTCAAGGTGAAAGTGAAGTTCAATTTCGATTCGGTATTCGTTTTGCAGCTAAGCTAAGATCGCTTAATGTACAAAAGCTTTTCACTCACTCACTCAACGTCAATTACATAATATATGCATATAAAAGCCCTATTTGAAATCTATATTTAAATGTATCGTAACTTTGTTGATAGACTAAGGAATTTTTAATATCCTTTGAGCCTCTGTCTTCCTCTTTCATTTCATTGCACTTCTTGTTCGGTATTCAAAATTCGTCTTTAGCCGTTAACTCGATTTCTTTATGATTAACACATTTATCGTTGTTATTGAAATAAATTGCAATTCAATAAAGCAAATCGTGTCATTTAACGCATTGCTATGCCCAATTTAGTTAATAATAAATAATTAGTTAAATAAAATGTAAAATTATCATAAAATACAACGGCTATCTAATGTTGAATAACTTAAGAGCGTAAATAAAATGTTTTTAATTTTCTTTGAATTTTTCACGCAATCGTTTTAATGGATAATAAATTTTCGGTTTTATTATATTTTAATTAATCTAACACTCAATAAAAATAAATTTTATATCCATAGCATTGCATACTATTGCTTACAAGTACATATATATACATATATATATATATATATATTTTAAAAATATTACACCTACACCTTTCTGGTTTTTTGCTTTTTTTTCATTTATTTCCCGCTTCTTGTACGATACAAATACAAGCAAAAATATAAAATTTATGGTTAATTATAAAATGAATAAAACAGTAGGTAAGTGGGCAAATGGGCAAATGGGCAAACAATTGAACCTAATCTTATCAAAGAAGAAACAGAATTTGCCATCAATTATCAAGTGAAGCAGCATTTGAGTACCTTGATATGTTACAGGCATTCGGATACGCAGCCGATACAATAACGAAACAAATCTCTTCCATAAAGTTTTCAAATAATGATTCACTTGATAGAGTACGCAATTGATTCATACGCTTGGGCTTCTATGGAAATATTATGAATGAGAATGGTCAGCAAGAAGACAGAAAAGAGACAGAAAGAAATAAAGAGGTGATGGTCGCAGTCTATTATGGGTTTGCCCAATCGATAACGGTTCTGCCTTGCGAATACCTATGAGAATTCACCATACCTACAAACAAAGTACACTGTACTGTATCGCAATTGAAATTTGAACCCGCAAACACCGAATTCGTAGTCGCGATCCTTAATCGCGATAACCGGCTGCTCACGCAGACGCTTATACGAAGTTTTCAATTTTCTTTTCTAAACTTGCTTTCTTTTGAAGTACTTATATATACCATGCTTCTACCGCTTGAAGTTTTCAAAAGTTCACACGAGTCAAATGAATGAAAGCCGAAACATCTGAACCGATCCTGTGCTGCTTAAATATCTGCATAATATTCTACGAATTTCTAAAGTGTGCATCGACGCAATGAATTTAAAGGAACAACTCATCCAATGTACAGATGGATAAAAAGGTATTTAAGAAATTATTGCTAAAGAAGAAAGATCACCCCCAATAATTGCAGTGGCACCAATGCGTCACTACACACACACCTTTCAACATATTGTCACCTAATTAATTGTACATAATTTCAAAGCGTAATATCGCCAATTTTTCATTTTTCAGACTCCCGTCAAAATTTGCCATTTGTTTGCCGTGTGGTTCGACAAGTCACCGGGGAGAGATATGTGGAAAGACAAACGAGCTGCTGAGGACGTCCCTCATTAGTGCTCGGCATGCTATACAACAATACAATCTCTTTATTAATAGAAAAATGTATCGACTGAGACCAGCAAGATGTAACTCCATTGAATCCTTTAAAAGTTATGCTAAAAGTTATTGACCTACTCGAATAAACCACAAACACTCAATAATTTTAAAACTAAGAGTATTTAAATTATCGGTGAAATAAGCGCAAATTTTTTGTGGAAAATTTTGTAGTGATTGCTCTTCCTGAGCCATGAGTTATTTACAATTTTTATTCCCACTAAGATACTTATAAACAATGAACTTCTGACCGAGAAATAAATAAAGATAATATATCCCGACTTTTACGTCTTTTAGCCACTGCTATCCTTCATTTTTGCAACGTCACGTCGTTTAGTTTGTTTAACTGTCGTCGGTAGGTATGTGGAGTAACAATTTCTTGCGGTTTTAGCAGCTCGTAATTCCTTGCCTATGCCCATTTAAAGCAAACTTTATGGTCATGAATATTTCACTTCAGTGTCGTTGTGGACGGCTATCCTCGTGATGACTTACCTACGACTGTTGTCGTAATGGATCCACTTTTCATCGCCAGTCACAGTACGTTACATAAAAGTCTTTTTTTATTTTTTGCCCGGCAAGCAATGGAACCTTGATGTTGGAAAGCTTCGGAATGGTATTTTCAGTCAAAAACGCATGGCAGCCATTCTCCCTACTTCTGGATTTTTCCTATGGCATGTGAATGTCTAAAACAGTTCCATCATAACCTGCTAAGCTATTCGAAAATTTTTTGTAGAGTTTGAATTGGGCTTTCGGCCAATAAGTCCTGCGATTCATTGTCTTCGAACGGTTTTGGTCCTCCGGGCCGTGCTTTGTCATTGGCATAAGAAACACCTCTTTTAAGACGTAGAAATCAAGACCGGCATTGGAGTGCGGTGGAGCAGTAGCAGCATAACCTTCTAAAAGTGTTTGATGCGTTTCGGCAGCAGGTTTCTTTAAATCAAACAGCAAAAGTAAAGTGAATGTTGAAAATGTAGTTTTGAGCGTTTCATGATTAGCGTCTGTATACATTGGATAATGGAAAATTAAACCGTTATAGCTGATCAGAGTACATGCAAGCAGCCAATTCGTTCTTGTTATCTACTGTCGTATGCGATAATTTGTTCTTATTTAATTAATTAATAACCGACAAGAAAAAGGAATTCTTCCCCTTTTCTTGCCTTAACCTAAGGTACACATGCTATTTCCAATTCATGTACAAGATGCACTGTTAACTGTTCGCGCATCGTGACAATTTGGTAGGTAAGGTCGCAACTAACTTTTACATCAACAAGTTTGCACATCAAAGAAACGAGAAGAAATGTGACGTGACAATCTCGAAACCATGCTCGTTTAACATGGTGGCACCATTTCTTAAATAAAAAACAAAAACAAACAAAAAAAAAAAAAATGATATTATATAATGGCATTATGAAATCAACTTAAGTCACATACTCTTGTCAAACGTTAAGTATTTGGAAGTGGGCTCAAAAAAAGCGTAACTTATTTCTTTTTTCCTTTTTTTTTTTTTTTTCTTTATTTATATTTCCTGCAGGTGGTGTGTGTTTTAAAATTTTTTATTTTTTATTTTCAATGGATTTTTATTAATTTTTATGTATTTTCCCGAAATTATTGGCAAACATGCAACTCATACTGACTTCACAATACACAAGATTTAATTTATGCTCATTACTATTTATAACGGCAAACGGTAAAAATTCTTTAGGGAAAAAAAAAAAAGAGAAATATCCAATTCATGTTCGTAGGGTAATAAATGTCCAAAAAATGTCATGTTATCAATGCGAAAATTCCACATGAAAGCATGAGTATGAGTCTGTAAATGTGTGTTATAAGCAAAAATATGCAAAATATCACGATAGCGCATTGGGTGCTTTATTTGGCGATCAATAAAGCAGAATTCAAAAAACGTTTGCATACAAAGCTTACGCTTCAGAAAATTATATAAAAAAACAAAAAAAAAAAAAATAAAACAAAAATCATTACAAAAAAAAAAAAAGAAAACAAAATCTCTTTTCATTTTTGATATTTTTTTTCTTTTTCGTTGATTGACTAAATGATTCAGCAAGAAAAACCGTCTCAATTCAGTCCATTGCACTGCACTCGCTGCATGCAATGTCATTGCATTGAACACAACATTAAATCAATTTTAACGACAAGCAACAGCAACAGTTTGCTTACAAGCATGAACGTGCAAACTTACGAACAAACAATTATAACAAAACTTGACTAAACTCGCTTGTCGCTTGCATATCGCATGTATATACAGTTATAAGGTAATAAGCGAGAAAAAGATTATGATTTCAAGGGTCCCTCTTGTGCTGCGTCGCTGGTTGCTGGTTGCTGGTTGCTGCTGCTGCTTCGGCTGCTGCTGCTGCTGCACATTCCCACATATAAAATGATTCGTAAAAGAATGCTATGAAAAGAAATCAACAAAAGTATGTTTCTTATTATTTGTTATCGTTGTTGTTGTTGTTGGGTCCTTTTTCTTCTGGACAAATGTATGTTGTCAGTGGTATTGTTATGTTTAACCCAAATGTCAAAATTTCAATATATTGATTACACTTCTATATACGTTTTTATTGCACATTCGTAATTACACATATGCGCTCTGTTCCCTGAAATAGGTTAACAAAATGCTTAACACGCATATAGTTACACATATTGTGCACACATGTGTACAGATGGCTTTCAGTTTCATGATTAATGATGATTAATAAAAAAAATACTTTTTTTTTTTTAAATAAAAAAAAAAATTAAATTTTTATTAATTATTTATGTAATTTGATTTGATGTAAGTGTTGTTATTGCTATTGTTGTTATTATTATTATTATTATTATTATTATTATTGATATTATTATTTTTACAGTTTTATCCTTACACATATAATTTCCTATTACTATATTTACCATAATAACCAAAAACAAAAATTAATCAATCACGTTTAACGTGCATATAAAAACAACCACATGCACATGCAAGGACAGTGTTTCTGTAGGTGTTCAGACAGAGTTGAGCGGAGCAAAAAACAAATAAACAAAACGAAAAAGTTGAAATGTTATGAAAAACGAAGCTGCAATGTTGATTAAGCTTTAATGGCAACATTTTTAATTTCCTGAATTTCACATCAATTTTATACGCATGAACACTACACGAATATATACACGAATGAGATAAATTTTAAAACATTTTCCGATTTATGTATGCTATATAAACGCATTAGCTTGGGGTGAGTTTTCGCTTGCAGCAACCATACAAAAATCGTGTAAAATATGCTTAATCGTAAGCATATCAGATAATACGCGATAGACAGAAGGTCACTGAATAGGCGGGCAGATGTGTACGTATGGAATAAGATCCATACTGACGTAGAGAGGACGTGAGCGAAAGATAAACAGCTTGATGGATGGATAAAGAGATCGCCATTGAACTGATGTCTGTCTACGCACTGAAGCGAGGCTGCATAATACGATATTCATAGGCTTATTGGATAATTAACGTGCAGTTACCAGTGCTTCCTAGTTTGTAAGGTAACCCTATACCAAAGCTGGAGCACCAGATATGAAGCTATGACTAGGGTGCAAACTCTCCCTTCTACCTGCATCTCCAGTTATATAATACCCTCGCACTTGAGGTAACCACAGCCGCTGCGAATGCTCGCTAAACATCTGCGTCCCGTGATTTGTCGTGTATACAGCGGAAGGTGTACGCTAAACATTTAAGTCAGAAACTTATCTTCTCTCGCGTTTCCATTTTTATTGCGGCAAAGATAAGTGTCTTCTTTCTTCTGTCCGGCTGTACGAGTATCTGGTTTTTGCTGGTCTACCTCTCCGTAAGACCGTCTTATCAGCGATGTGAATCCTGGCATGAAGAAGTCATCAAGAGTGTCAGGAGTCATCTGCTTGCAAACTTCTCTTCGAAGTTCAGTTACTACGGAGACACAAGTTTTACTACACAGGCCTGCGAGTCACTAAAGAGGACAGAGAAGTCATAGTCTGATTTGGTGTCTAGCTATGTTCGGTTGATTTATGCTCTTTGTCCATCAAAATCCATAGGGAATTCATTGGATGGGTAACCAGAATGCAAAAGTATGCAAAAAATTGAACCTAATGCCTTACAGACAAAAGCTGTAGAATCCATAAAAGTCAGGATGTCCATTTCAAGACTACCTCGTTTACGCGATGAACTGTCGTTGGTCTTTGAATGCGTAACGAATGCCGAGTGTACGAGTGATGCCTGTCTCAAGCACGACGAACTGAAGTATGTATTTTTCAATGCGTATGCTTTCGTAACTTGTATTCAATATTCCTTTTTAGCAATTTGACCTGATAGAAGATAGAGGAACCGCAATCGGCTTTTTTCGCATAATAATGGTTTTCATGACGTCCCGGTAAGTAGAAATCATTGTTTCACAGACATTGTAAAAATCGAAAAAATCACTTTTTTGTAGCGTAATTTGAACTAATTTATTGACATAAAACCCTAGATGCCAAAGACGTAACTACCGGTACTACTATTAAGCATAGTATAGTGTATAGTACTTAGTTTAAATGGACAATTAACTATGTTTTTTGTCCAAACTCTAATGCACCATAAGTGCATATGTGAAGTTCATTGGCTTGTTACCACATTGCGGTAATTTTATAACAGGAGATCAAATATCGGCTTAGTTACGCTACGTTGCCTACTAATTGATATCATTTGGCAAAAAAATAACGAGTAACAAAATCATCCCTAACTTTTGGCGACTTTAGAATGTCAGTGATTTCAGGAAGTCTTTTCTCGGTTGTAGTCGAAGAGGTTTTTAAAGCCTTATTTAATATTTGCACTTAACTTTTTTTTTTTTTTTTTTTTTTTTTTTTTTTTTTTTTTTTTTTTTTTAAGTATATTTGCTGATTATTTTTAGCAATTAAACTCATGTTTACAAAAGAACCATGCCTATTTTTCAAACCTAATGTGGTGAAGAAAATTGTGAAATTATGAAATTTTGCTACTAATTTTCGTAAGATAAAAAAGTTTCAAGAAGAGATGAAAAATGGACTGACAGACACATCGATTAAACTGAAGGGTATAAACATTTCGAGATTTCTAACACGTATATGTCACTCATGAGAAGTAATAGAATCGCATACGATAACGAAATTTCAAAAATCAAATAAATTAATTAAATAATAAAATTGAAATTTCTTAATATTCTTTAAAAATTTGTTATTAAAATTTGTTTAATTCTTTCCTAAAAGCAAATATAATATCATAAAATAAATTTTATCTCATTAGTTATTTATTTTTAGCAATCTCCTACCGTTAGTATTGATTTTATGCAACGTCCTATGTAAGCATATATTTATTTAAATATATGTGTATGTTACACGATTTTAGCAAATTTATTATTTTCAAATAGCATACACCTGAACGCTACCTATCACACTCCCTTTTTAACTTTTCTTATTTTGCTCAGACCACAACAACATAGTTTATGCTATGCTTGCTTGTTCGTTAGATTCGCATGTCATTCACATTGGCTTTATATCTCGATATGTTCGCTGTTCCATTTATTACAGAGTATTTTAACGGTTATACAGGCCATACCATATGGCATACAATATGCAGCTTGACTAGAAGAAATAAAACAGTTTAAGATAATTTAGTAGAACAGCACTAAAAACAAAACGAAAGCATGCATATAGGCAGATGGAATAACGAAGAGAAAAAAAGAGAAAAGGATATAGAGAGAAAAGCTTTTGATTATTTACATTTTGACATTTACATTTTTATTTTAACATTATTTTAAGGCGGACCCTTAACATAACTGTTGCTAACACGAGTACATATATAATGACGTCATTAGACAATTTATGCTATATACGTAATGCAAACGTCTCAAAGTGGCCCATTATACATTGTATATATATTTATATATATATATATATATACATATATATGCAAATATATTTACATGTATATATATATATATATATATATATATATATATATATAAAATTCTAAAGATAACTTGATAACTAGCTAAGCGCGCTTTTTTCCAGCTATGTTTGCTTGATTGCTGTTTAACATAAAGTGCATGTGCAAGAGTCTCTTACGCTTATGCAGTAAAAACAACTGTAACATATTAGTTGTCTATCTGGTCGATTCATTGGCTTACGTATGGCATTGACCTACTTGAAATTATGTAACATTCAACACTAAATGCTTCTTTCGGTACATATATATATATACACACACACATACGCAAAAAAAAAAAAAAAAACAAGAAAGAAAAAAAAGCCAAAAATAAAATAATTTTTTTGCTTTCATATACAAAATAATTTCAACCAAACAGCAATTCTTCCTATTGCCCTTCTCATTTTCAACCCTGAATGCAATCCAAGTGCTAGCGTTTAATACGCAGACAGAGCAAGCAGTTAACATTGCTTTGTCAATTTCAAGTTTGCAAAAATTTTCTTTTATTATTTCAGTTTTTCTTGATCCAACTATGATGATGTTTTTTCATCGCCGTCCATACGCACCAATCATATTATCGAAATTGGAACGTGAACTTGAAATAAATTAAAAAGAGCCGCAATGGAAAGTCAATGGAAATGGAAATTATTTGATCTGCGTACTGTCAGTACTGCTTTCGCTTTATGAAGAAAATGTGCAGAATTTCAATCAAAGACCTTCCGGCCCGAATAAACTCATCTATATAAACGTGACGAAAGTCATGATCCAAAATTTCCAAAATGCATTAAACAATACCATCACCAGACGGGTGGGTCTAACCGAAGAATCAAGATTTTCGCTCAAGATACTAACACTTATCGCCTGAAGTACTGGGGAACTATACTCGCTTTCACAACTTTGCTGGATAAGAGCAGACATCAATTTCTTATCGATACATTATCGCTATTGGTAGCGCGTGACCTTGCTCTAAGTGAGCACAAATTGTATGCAATCTTTATCTTTATGAATATAAAATAAATATAAAACTTACAAATCGAAAAACATTGGTATTAATGCTTTAGCTGCTACAAAAGACACGCCTACAGCCTTTATCGTATAAGTTTATCCGATTTCTTATCAATCTTTGAAAAGCAAAAAGTTGACGCAATTCTGAATTGGCCTTTGATAGGGGACAGTCTTCCCAAGCGTAAGTTTTATAAATTTAAGTAAATTTTTGTACATTTGACTCATATCCTTAGCAGTGTTTGGCTGCGTAACTTGACCGTTCACAAGTATTGAAACTAATTTACATCCTTTTTTTTGTTTTGCAAATGACTTGCATACGAATACGAATTGATTTTCAATTCGCAACTTTCTCGCATTTTCCACAGCCGCTTTTTAATTAAATGTGTGTGTGTGTGTTTCCAATTTTTTACGGAGTAGAGTTTCGGAGTCTAGAAAAGATCTATCCGTGCGAAATCTTAATGTATTTGATGACCGATTTACAATTTCAACGATCTCTGATTTTGATATTTGTTGTTGACATTACCCTGACTTTAACGAATGAATTGACGAAAACGCCAACTTCCGAATAAACACGAAAAAATAGAATTGCAAAACCCCGAATCGATTAGAGAGGAAGGCAACGTCAGAAACGGACATATGAACGAATCGAATTGTTGCATGAAATGAATAAATGTACAGAAAATCGACAAATCTGTTTTTCGATGAAAGAAAGATCTTAGTGGCAGGAAAACACCTGTACGAATAGACTAATAAATGAAAGGATAAGTGGAGACTTAGACAATTAGGCGGGCGATTAAGTTTATAAATCAAAACGGAACGCATGGATGTAGTCCGAGACATAAAGCATTGTAGAATGAACTAAAAAAAAAAAAGAAGAGAAACGAATACTAACAGACGGACAGCAGTCTAATGGATAGAACAAACGAACAGACGCCTACATAGAAAGTCGGCCAAGCAGCTGACACGGCAGACAGACACACAAGCAAATTGGCAGGAAGATTCTTTGTCGCAACAATTAACGAATAAATAAACACACAAACGTAAGGAAAAGAAAGGAAAAGAAGAGCAAAGGTCTAGCTGGTATCTAACATATTTTCTTGGATAATTTGAAGTAAAAATGAATGCACACTTCAGAAAACCGTGAATGGATCCAACTAAGAGTGAGCACCTCTTCGTCTTTTTGTGTATTATTCGAGCGATAAGGTCTTAAAATAAGACTAAGTCTTACTGGGTGAATGTAGTGTTACACACACATACCGAATTCCGTCCGCCGCGCCAAACTGTTAGCAAAGCAATGTTGTTTGCACATTACTCACCAAAGTTTTAGACTTGTTTTCTGAATCATGGATACAGCACTTTGTCACTTCTCACTCTGCATTAATCCTTTGAGATTTTTATTATCAAAAATGCAACTTATATTGTTTCGCAACGCAATACCCTTCAATGAAATCTCTCTGACCTCTAGATATTCTCGAAACACGAAAAGCTGCATTTTATAAAATACTTATCTACTAGTATTTTCAGGAATATCTCTTCACGTGATTAAAACAGACGAGCCTAAAATTGATTACGGATACACCTATGTAAGGCAAACAACAAAAATGACAGCATTTTTTTTTTAATGGATAGATTTTTGAACAGATCGCTTTGCTTTTAACAATGCGCTCAGCGCGCATTGACGCTGTTACACGTTTTATGATAATAGCGGCAATTAAAACATGAAAAGATGTGCGAAGGGAATTCGGGCTAAGATCTCTCTCAAATGAAAATGGAGATTTTCGATAAACGCAGCAAGTCGACAACAGATTGAAGAATGAAGGAATAAACGCACGTTTATGTAGAACCTATGCGAAAAGAGAAAATCATGGTCTTAATCAATCAATGTAAGTGATCATATATATATATATATTTATGATTTTGATGTTATTTACATATAACTCATACGTCATGTTATGCACGCATTTGCAAGACAAATTAATTTGAAAAGTGCGAACAATGAGAAAATGTGAAAATCTTATGATGAATAAGAAAGAGATTTGCTTTAAGATTAATAAAGCTCGTCACTTAGTTAATTTGAAGGAGCGTAATATATAAAAATTGAAAGAAGAAATTAATTAAACACTTAGTTTTGTTGCTTTCACCCTTAACAACGAAAACGAAAAGGGAAAAAGTGGAAATAGAAAAGTAAATGTTATATAGAAGAGAGAGAGAAACGAAGCTAGAAAGCTTTCGTTTAGCATTTCGCCTTGCCCACATAACATAACATATAATATAGCACCGTATATTGCTATTTACCATATAGTCCGCCTAACAGTTATATGCAGAATTTGTTTCCAGCATTCAGTTGATGTTAGGTTTTAAAGCGGTACAGATGGATAAAAGTGCCTAATGTGTGGTATATTTTCTATTAAGAAAAGCAGAGTGTGTGTGCGTGTGTATGGAAAGCAGCAGACGCATGAGAGAAAAGAATTTCTGCTTTAGAATAAATATAAAAATATTTTTTT